ATGGCGTTCTTTGTCCCTCCGCTTCTAATGGCAGGTTCTTATAGTGTCACCTTCTCTTTCCTTTTCGTACGGCCACCGGCCTCAAATTTTGACACAAGCGTCCCTCCTAGAGAAACCGCTATTGTTTTGGAAGATTGTCCTACTTTGAAGACTATTGACGTACTTGGGACTGTGAGCTCGGCTCCTCATCTTTGTCGTCGTGCTCCAAGTGCCACGTCTATCAAGCCTTTGATCTGATCGTCCATTCTTGTTGCACAAAAGAGAGCTTTGATAGAGGAGACGAGATATGGGGATGAGAAGAGAAAGCGGAACAGAAGTCAATTAAACAATAAAAACGACACCATTTCATATATGATGTTTTATATGGAATTTAGTGGAATACCCAGTCAACTGATGTGTTGGTAGAAGGTGGGACTCTATAACAGCCACATCAGCAAATTCCAAACGAAATGTTGACGGAGGCTACAACTGTTTAAAAAAAAAAGTTGGTAGCATCGATCGTTAAAATTAAAAAAATTAGTTAAAATTAAACTTGTAAAGTTCATGATTTATTTGATCATTAGGCCATATAAAAGCAGAGTAGTTTGTCTTGTATAGAAACCAAGTGTAAATAGCACAATTTTCCACATGACATTATTTTAGATTATAAAATGATAAATGTTAAAATTCTAACACAATTTAGCACATTTGAAAAAATTGTAAGAATATCAGTTGTTTTATATTTTCAAACAATTCATTTATCTAGATAATATCTACAAAAAAGATTATTTGTCATTTGATATATTAATATAAATTTATTTCTTTTTACAAAACAATCAATAAGTATTCCACGCTTAAAAAAGTGTGGATAAACAATATATTGCTATTAAATAAATAATATATAAACAATTTAAAAAATATAAATTGGAACGTACAAGATATGATAATTTTTAAAAAAGTAAGACATCCACACGCTTATGATATATATTACACCAAATAAATAATAGATTAATATTTTAAATAAACAAATAATCATTTATAATAAATCATAATAATCAATAAACATAAATAAAAATATTACCCCATTTTCTTATTTCAATATCCATTAGTATTTCAATATAATTAGTTAAATTCTCAAAATTATTATCACTATTGAAAAATACATTAATAGTGTGTATGCATTTTTTTATATAGGTCATATTATGTATGACTTTTGCTATTGCATACCTTATAAAAGGCCTCACAGAATACTTAAAAAAATATATCTTAACATTGTAACTTTTCATCATATAACAATGAGATACAATTTACCATTATATTATATAATTTTACTATTTTTGAATGATGTTATAAAATATTATTTTATCTTTTAATATTGCTCCACGCATCGCCAGTTTCTAACATTAGTTAAAATTAAATAATGGATATTCAAACACCTTAAATATTATGTTTTTTTTTTTTTTTTGTTTTCTTTATTCGATACACTCTTTTTTTTTTTTTTTTTTATTCATCACTCCCAGAAAAAGAAAAAAAGAAATGGGAAACTATAGACATCAAATTAAAGCAACAATTTAAAACCTAAAACTGCCCGTTGGGAGAAAATATTACTATTTAAGTTGAGAGTAAGAGTGTAATATAATAACATAAAGTTTTAATTCGCACTTAATATTAATAAATAATACATATACACATACACGTGATGCATGACATCTTCTTTCACGTTCTTTAGTTTATTATTATTATTATTATTATTATTATTATTATTATATGAACCAACAGTGTCCTTGGCTGGGGTAACAAGTTCAGGAAACACACTGAGGGTTAGAAATCCGATAAAAGAATAGTAAATAAATTGATAACAGTATTTCAATTTATCTGATTTTCATTATTTTCCTTATTGGTTGGTTCAACTTCAATGGTGGGATGATATAGAGTATTTTAAAAATACTCCTAAAATGAATTATTCTGATTTTCCTTTTGCAAAACTAAGATTATATTAAAATAATACGACTAATAAAATCGCACCTACAAACATGTATGAATATATTGTTTATTTGCTTGCTAAAATAAATAAAATTGAGATTTCAATTTTACAAGAAAATTTTAACTGTTTCGGTTCACTTACTAAACCCTTCAACTATTAAAATTACATTTATTAATCACATTAACTTCTAAAATCGTATCCATTAAATCTAATTTTGCATAATTTTCAATTACTGGATAGATATTTAATAAGTGTGATATTTTATTTTATTTTATTTTTTGCATAAATTATGAACAATAGATATTTATGAACTTTTCACCGATTCAACGTTCCTTCTACAAATAGAAAGCCAAAGATTGCAAGAATCAAAATAACAGCAATAAAGTTGATGTTGCATTACAGCTATTCCTGAGTTTATGTGCAATGAAGTTGTTGTTGATTATGTCACAACAGATGGCTCCTGGGATTGGGTTAAGATTAGCCATTTTCTTCCCCTTTCCTTGCTGACTTGTATAGCAGGTATTCTGCCTCCTTCGCCCGATCGTAGTGGGGACCATCTTTATTGGAAGCTGACCTCGTCTGGGCATTTTTCAGTGAAGTCAGCTTACGCGTGGTTGTCCGATAACCAGGCCCTGCAGAATTGGCGAAAATGGGATGTTATTTGGCATTTGGGTTGGACCGTAAAGGGTGAGAACATTTTTGTGGCTGGCAGTGAATCGTAAGCTTTTAACGAACGTGGAGAGGTTTCGTAGGCACATTTCCACTTCTCCCTACTGTTCTATTTGTATGGGGATGTTTGAAGATGCTTTTCATGTGTTTAGAGATTGTTGCTTTGCTCAACAAGTTTGGTTGGCTCTGGGGACTCAATTCTGCATTTCTTCTTCAATGAGCATCTAAGCTTTGAGGATCGGACATTAGCGAATTTATCGTCCCAGTTTGTGCATGATTTTGGGTTTCCTTGGGCCACTATTTTTGGCTTATGTTGCTGGAAAAACTGGGACAGCAGAAATAAGCTTTTATTTGCGGATGAACAGGTGAATATCCATTGCTTGCTTCGAGATATTCTTTTTGTGGCCAAGGATATTCACAATCCTGGGTTTTTGAAGCCGGATTTGGTTTCGGCACCTAATAACAAGGTGTGCACGTCGGTACGCTGGTCTCCTCCTCCAGAAGCTTTCCTGAAACTGAATACTGATGCTTCGGTGGTGGGTAATGGGACCAAGTGGTGGAGGTTTGTTTAGAAATCACACTGGGAAACGGTTAGTTGGGTTTGTCTCTAATCTTGGCAGATGCTTAGTTCCGAATGCAGAGTTATGGGCTATTCTGGAAGGTTTAAGAATTGCTAAACAAAGTAATTTTCATTTCCTAATGGTGGAGAGTGATAGTGGCGTTGTGATTGATCTCACACATGGCAGGACTCAGGCTTCAGGTGCTATGAATCAACTTGTTCTTGCCATTAGGCACCTGCTGCAGGAGGATTGATCTTGCAATTTGGTTCATGTCTTCCGGGAAGCCAGTTTTTGTGCGGACTATCTGTCTAAGGCTGCTCGTAATTTTCCTCTTGGTACTCATGTTCTGGAGTCTGCTCCCCAAGGTTTGGAGGACTGGTTGTTGCATGATGTTATAGGTGTAACCTATTCTAGATTTGCTTGTCTTCTTAGAGCTTTGCTCTCTCCTTTTTCTACCAAAAAAAAAAAAAAAAAAAAAAAAATTTTCTTCAAAAAAAAAAAAAAAAAAAAAAAAACAAAAAAAAAAAAAAAAAAAAAAAAAACACAGCAATAAATTATAATCAAAACCACTTTGACTAAGCCACCAAAATGGTTAAGACTTAACGTGAGTCAGGTTTATTGATTTAAAATGTGCGGCAATGATTTTTTTGACCCAATCCAAACTATTAAACGTATGAATCTGTGGATTATAAATGGATTGGATTGGTTTAATGTAAACCCGCGGATTATAAAAGAGTTGAATTGGATACGAGTTCAATGTAAATCCGCAGGTCAAATAAATATAATAATATTTTTCAATAAAATACAACTCTTTAAGAGGATTACTAAAAAAAATTAAATATACTTAAAAACTTAATTATACAATAATTTTCATAAATTACAAATATATTCCAATGATATCATTAAAATTAAATTTCTTAACATGATTATTATTTTCATCATCATAATCATAATTACCAATGAAAAATTAAATTTTCTAATAAAAAAGACAATCAGTAAAATTAAAAATACATAGTAATATAATTATATAATATGTTTTATATTCAAAATTGCAAATCAAATCAAATTAACTAAATAATGCATAATTTATTTATGGGTTGGATCGGGTCTACGGGTTTATCTAGTGAGTCCGTGACCCAACCCAACCCGCAAATTATAAAGATGACTCGTTCAATCCAACCCATTATATCTTTAAACCCGCCAAATTGGGTTAGGTCGCTCGGATTGGGTCGGGTTATAACGGGTCATGTGCAACCCAAAAAATGTTTAAACCTTAGATTACGTAGGCTTTGGTCTTTTTTTTTAGGTTTATAGTGTTATAAAATAATATAAAACTAGAGACAATAAAGAAAAGGAATAGAAATCAAAATATAAGAGAGAATACAAGAATGTTTATTTTTGATGAGAGGCCGCATATGCATAGTTACATTAGTGAAACCCTAATGGAGTCCTACACAATAGAAAAATAGAGTTCACAATAATTAAGAATACAAACTTCTACTCACATCTACTTATTTCATAAAATATAGAGTTTTTTTCCAATTTATTCGAAATTATTTGCTTTGTTTACTTGGGATAAAGAAAACGGTTTGATCGGATAAAAACACAAATTCGATCTCGGTAAGCATACTTTACTGAAAAGATTAAAAATCTTTGCGTTTTAGGAATTACACCTCCTAATCATAGTTACTGTATTCAATTGAGTTACTCGGTTCGCCTCATTTCGGTTTAACTAAATGATCACCCCTTAATCTACACATCAAGGCTACGTCGTTTTGTTGCAGGGTTTTAAACGTTTGGGGTAGGGTTAAAACGTACGAAGTTGATTCTTCCAACTCCAAATCTCGTCGTCTCCTTGTTCACTCGATCGCTAGTCGCTGCTTTGCCTCTTGCCTTTCATCCAAATATTGAATCCATCGACCACGACTCCAACAGCGGCCATCTCCGCAACAAGCTCTGTGGCTCTCAGTTGCAAGGTATTTTTGCTACTGCTTAAGCTTTAAGCTTAATTATCTTCATGTAGAACCACAAGTTGTCCTTGTTTTTGCTACTGTTTAATTTTTTTTTTTTTAACTAAGACTTTCACATTTGCTATGATTATATACAATAGCAATTAGCTCTCTGCAACCATCTTTTCTTCAATCACTGCCAATAGGTCTCCTACTTCACACTGTTCTTAATATTCCATTTGACTGAATCATCATTCTTTTGAACATTTTTTTGTTCGTTTGTTTTGCTCGTAAAATACGTGCTTGAGATTTTTGATTACTGGTGGCATTTACTGTTTCAGGCTCTAAACTGACGATTCTGGAAAGAATTTTCCTCCCATTGAGCTGATTTCTTATTGATTTCTTGTTTCATCCATAGGAAAAAAAGGAGTTTTGGCAAATTTCCTTCATTACATTTGTTCAGAACTTTAGAGAATGATGGAAGATCGTTTTGATTTACATGATGTATCAAAAGAGTCGGAAACTAAAGAAAAGAAGTACCTCAGAGGAGAAGGTGCTAATTTAGAGGTAAGCAATGGATGGTTGACACCTCTTATTCTAGAGGCAGAATTCTGCTGTTGTTTTTATTTTGTTGCATTGTGATTTCTCCCTGTTTTGTAGGTTTTGAAAGACAAAAAACTAAAGGGTCAACTTTCAGTTAGAGAAGAATTGCATGTAATATCTGCAAAAACTGCTGCCAAGGCTGAGAAGGTGAATTATTTGTTTGGTATTATCTCTAGTTTGTCTCAATTCTTTGCCTTTTCCACCTCTCACATTTCTGGTCTTGATTTTCATTTTAAAAGAAATCATTTTTCAAATATATTTTCTTCAATAAATAGGCTTTTTATGATCTTGACATGTTATGGTACTCTCACTTTAATAACCAATATATATTGTATTTCTCCACCCATTTTGCTCTTTCAGTGAACGGAATGCACTTATTGTATTTGTTCCTTACAATGTGTGATTCTTCTAATCAGTGGCTTATGCCAAGTGAGGAAGGCTATCTTGAGGCTGAAGGCATTGAAAGGACATGGAGGATCAAACAAGATGCTATTGCTTCTGAAGTTGATATCTCAAGCAAAAAGAATCAACATGACATAATCTTACCAGGTTGGCATGTTTTTGGTGCTCCTTATTTACAATCAAAATTTGGACATCTATTACAACAATTTTCCTAGATTAGTTATTGAATATCTCAATGATGCCTGTTATGTGTGCGTGCATAGTCTTACTTGTTAATTCAAATGAGCAAATATTGGTTTCAGCTTTTCAGAGTGAGACTGTTAGTGAAACTAAGAAAAGAGGAGTAAATTTCAAATGATGGGGATCTTACTGCGAAGTCTTAAGATTTCCAAGAAACTGATATAAAAAAAAAAGGAAAGAGGGGAAATGGAAGTAAACAGTGCAACTCTATCTCTTTTTGTTGAAGAGGTCTCTCACCCGAAGAGTGAAAGCTAGCTATTATGTATTCATTTTCAATGGTTGGTGTGGTTGGCTTGGAAAAGTGGTAGTAGGCTTAAAAGTGGCAATTTATTTTGACATGGATGCGATTTTTTATGTTCTTTTTGGAATCTTAAAATGTCTAATTAGTAATTACTTTTCTGATCAAGTTTGATAAACACTAGCTTCTTTAGTAATGGATGCCAAACATGAACTGTAGATTTGGGCCTAGGTTCATTGGTGTGATCTATTAGATTTATAGACAACTAGACATGAATCAGTCGTTTAAAGATCTTGGGGTTTCATTATGGAGCATTTTCTATTCCCTTAGAGTGCTTGCTTAGCATTACTTGCTATCGGTATGGGCTCATGTTTCAAGCGTTACGCATACAACAAAGATCATGAAAACTCAGCTTAGTAGCTTGTGTATGCAAATGGTCAATTCAGATTGGAGGTGTGGATATCATGTAATACACATATAATTTTAAAAAAACTGAGAAATAACAAAATTAAAGTTAATATATAAGTAGTATTTTCGGAAAAAGGGAAAATTAAAAATTAAAATCAGTATAAAAATTAAAATCCACTTATGTCGATTAGCATTTAGTTCTATCTGTTATTAGGGTAATTGTGGTGTACTATCCTTTTCATTCATGTAAAATATTTCGGATTCATATAATGTTGCCATGTTTTTTACAACAACATCAAACTGAAATTGAGCCTTAAATTTGTGCTTATTTTCATTACGCTCAGGATTTATTCCTGAAATCATTAAATGTTGTTTCTTCCCCACTTAGTTTCTGAGATAAAAGTTCTCTTGTTTGAGTCTCTCTCTTTTGACTATGAAATTATGCAATGCTCATACCTGGAAGTAACTCTCTCACAACCTAAATGTGCAGATCTTGGTCCATACACTCTGGATTTCACATCAAGTGGAAGGTACATGGCTGTAGCTGGGCGCAAAGGCCACATGGCAATGGTAGACATGAAAACTATGAGCCTAATTAAAGAGATGCAGGTATGCCTTTCCACTTTAAGGTTGACATGACCTTAGATGTGAATGGATTACAGATGGTATTTACTTTGCAGTTGCTATAATGATGCTCAGATAATTTGTAGATTTTTTCACACTCTTTGGTCAGTCTCTTTTAAATTCTTGGAATTCTTTATGTTTTAAATATAAGGTTAGTCTGCAAATTCAGTAGGCTGATATTTTTTGGTTGAGCTTAGTGCTATGGTGAACTAAATATTCTTGATTGAAAAATATCATAAGATTCCGAGTTCATTAATTTTTAAACATGATAGCTTTTTTCTTAAATATGTTTCTCTTCTACAGCAGTTTTTGCTGATATCCAATTGATTGACAATCAAGCTTTGTAGAAGCCCAATCCTTAACCTGAGTGTCAATTATTTCTTGTGACATCAAACACTTATAATATAAGTCTTGTCTAACTAACTTATACAACATATGGAAGGTCGAACATCTCAGCTATAAATGCATTTGCGGCCTTATAAACCTACAGAAAAATTCATACTAAATAGCATGGTTTTCTAAATATCCATAGAGGTTTAGATTGCTTTACCTAGTGTATTAGTTTGTTCCTGGGTTCTGAATGTACAAGTGGCAATCTCATTTTATTATCATCTGAATGTTGTTTTTATATACTTTTAAATATATTTGGGAGTTGATGGTGGGAAATAAAACTTTGCACAAGTACTTTTGAGACACTTTCATAATTGGATTATGTAATGCAGTAAATTATCTGCACACAGGGCCGCACCTGCTCTTTCTTCTGTTTGCGGGTTAAGTTTGAATCACCCTAGTTTCTTAAGAAAAGCCTGATGCCAATAATTGAGTAACTTCAGTTTGACATGGAATTCAGCAGTTAATTTGTCCGTAGTCCAGGAAAAAGCTTTCTTCAGTTCGTGGGCCCAATGAAAAATGTGGCTGAACTTTATTTATCAAAGACAGACTAGTACAAGAGTACTCTTCATTATATCTAGTGTGATAGACATGTTCTAAAACTGTTTTGGTGATTCAATGGTTCAATGATTCCATAGGAGGTTAGAAATTAGAAAAAAATTAAATAAACTGACCATGCAAGTTACTAAAGTCTATTGGTGTATGTAAACTAAGGTTTCTTGCAGGCACAATGTTTGGCATGCTAGAAATTCTTCTTTCTAGACACTGGTAATCATAATGTAAGATAGGATAACAAAATTGTGCTACTTCTGAGCACCATTTTCAGAATATATTGGCTTGAGGACTTTGAAAAACTGTAAGAAGTGGCAATTTAGTCGATTGTGTTGAATTGAGACATTCGCCATCAATGCACTAGGATGAATATTCTGGATCACCTTACTGTATTGAGAGAGCTAAATGCCTTCAGACCATAAAATTTGTAGGAGAGACTTGTTTAAGGAACCTTTTTGGTAACAAGCTGCTATCAGACTTGCTAGTAGCAGGTACTTGGTGAAGTTATTTTTAACCCAGGAATACTATGAATTTTCCACCCTCTTGTCAATCTGTTTCAAACTTGACCTTCAGAACTTTGATAACAAGAGATTGAATACTATTTTGAAGTTTAATTCATTAATTGTTCAATGCAATGAATGAGAGTTTCATATGTTGGTTCAGTTTGTGGTACAATAAGAATACCATTCAATTTCGACATACAAAAAAGAAAAATGGAATACCATTAAAAAGTGTCTTGCAATATAAGTGAAGTTGTAGGAGTGATTGACATAAGATAATTTTGGAAAAAAGGGGACAAATTTCGATCTGTGATATTAAAGAGTGTGATGAAGTCCATGCGATTCAAGTGCTAGGTTCCAAATGACTAGGCATATATATGATATCTAATCGTTTTATTTTTGTTTAATTAGGCTCTGACTGATATTTTCATTTTTATTTTTATCTTTTGCTGCTGATAACAAATTACTAGAAATTGGTTTTTTTATTGTGTCATTCTTTCTTTTGAAAATTCTGTATTATTTTTCACCCCTTTCTGGGATTTATCATTATCATCCATTCAGGCTTTTCCAGAAGTCTAGAATAATTAACTACCTTTTTTTTTCCCCAGGTTAGGGAAACGGTGCGTGACATTGTGTTTCTGCATAATGAGCTCTTCTTTGCCACTGCCCAGAAAAAGTATGTTCTTTTCATTCCATTTCATTTCTTTTTCTTCTTTCCTTATGACTGATGCCTGTCGTCTGTTGGATATTCCAGCCATTTGATGGATAAGTTGTTGGCACTACATTAAGTAAACTTTTGTTATGAGGAAATGGGAATCAAGCAAAATATTCTGCTTCTTTCTTAAAATTAACACCAAGTCAAACATTTAAATAGAGAACTGAGGCAATATTTTTCATATGCAGTAGCCGCTTATTAATTGCTTGACATTAAACTCTGACACAATTCTGATTGCTGTCATCTTAGCAATTGATTGGTAATGATTATGTTATTTCAATTTTAAGAATTATCCATTATTTGATTGTGCTATTGTACATAACTTCTATTTATCATGATGCATGACAATCAATTTAATGTTTTCACTCCTGTGCTGCTTATAACCTCATAGATCAACACTCTTTTTGTTTCCTATTTTTTATTTTTTATTTTTATCATATTGGTACAAAAATCAAAGCTTCTTTTGGTCATCCAGAGTCTTGTAGGTTTCAATATTATCATCAGACCATTAATTCTCAAATTTTTTGACACAGATGTATAAGTTTCAAGGGACACTATAGGTATAGGCTTCGTATGTTTTTCTTTTTATCACACATCATTTTTTATTAAGATAATGTGCACAAGTGCTGTATTCACCAGAGCCAGTTTTGGAGTTATATGGTTTGTGTTGTTGTAGTTATGCTTTCTCTCACGGTCAATAAACTGTGTGTTTGGCGTTTTATGCAAATGCCAAGCTGCATCCTTTTTCCTTCTATTCCCCATGTAAGTTCTAGTTTAACCTTATTACTGTTATTTGTTAGTGTAATCATGGCAATTGCTAGGTAAGACCTGCCCATTTGGGCTAATTAAAGTTTAATGAACTTGTGTTTCAACCTTTTGTTTTATTAGTGTAATCAAGTATCTTTGCCACTTGTTTTAACTGAAAATGTTATCTATAATTCTATACTTTTAAATTTCTCAATATTGACCTGTCATATAACTTTATTATCTGAAATCTGTATCTAAGAGTTTTAAGTTATGACAGGTACCCATATATTTATAATAGGGATGGCATTGAACTGCACTGTTTAAAGGTCAGTGTACTGTTCTTAAATGCATTGAATCTCTTTAAGCTGCAGCAAGGGCCTTTGATAATTTCAGGAAGCTATTCAACTTTGCCTGAAGTGGTTAAACTGTTATAATTATTTGTAGTTTTATCATTGTTTGTAGTTTTATTTCTTGTGTCTTGAGGTGTAGTTTCATTTCCCATGTCTCTGTGGGTTAGCTTTTCTAGTTTATGACAGGTGCCTAGTATCTAGGGCTTACATTTGAAGGGTCCTGTGCTATTCAATCAGTTTCAAATTCTATAAAGACTGAAATGCCCTCCAGTTGAGTTTATATATAAAGAGCTTATCTCTTTGTCCTGGTCCTCTTGCTCTCTCAAGTCTCAACTATTATATGGACTCTCAACTGTTATATGGACCTTTATGATTGAAATTGTCACACCAACTACATACTTTGGGATGCAGAACCTGCCCACCAAGAATGCTAGCTATGTCTTTATAAGAAGTCAAATAGTATATTTTGTCTTGGTTATTATCTCATATTGGAGTTCAATCCTAGTGAGAAGAAATTTGATATTCAGAATTGAAGTGATGCATTGCCTTTTGTTTCAATATGGTTAAAATTTACTTGTGTTGGTTTCTTTGGACCTATACATGATCATTCATCATCTAAAGTTACTATGAACTTGAACATATAGGATGTTGAAGTTTAGTGCAGGTTTCAAGTTAAATGCTTTATTTAATATTTAGAATGTGTACATGAACCGTGTTATATCCCATGTTACCATTGGGTTATTTTTTTGGATTTTAAGCTTATACAAACATGTTATACTCTGTTGTGGAAGGTTGAGTTCTGGGACCTTCAGGAAACCGTCTAACTCTTGATTGTTGATCTTTCTAGAATGATATTTTATTCCAGTTCTAAGTTTTGAGCCTTACAGGAACATGGTGCAGTGTTACGGCTTCAGTTTTTGAAGAACCATTTTCTCTTGGCATCAATAAACAAATTTGGGCAGCTCCGTTATCAAGATGTCACAACGGGTCAGATGATTGGTAATATCCGGACAGGTTTAGGTCGTACTGATGTGATGCAAGTTAATCCCTTCAATGGGGTTGTTGCTTTGGGTCATTCAGGAGGTACAGTGAGCATGTGGAAACCCACCAGTTCAAATCCCATTGTCAAAATGCTCTGTCATCCTGGTCCTATCTCGGCAATGGCATTCCACCCTAATGGCCATCTCATGGCCACATCTGGCAAGGAAAGGAAAATTAAGATTTGGGACTTGAGAAAGTTCGAGGTTCTCCAAACCATGCCAGGCAATGCAAAGACCTTGGACTTCAGTCAAAAGGGATTGCTAGCCGCTGCAACTGGATCATTCGTTCAGGTTTTCAGAGATTTCTCAGAATCCCGGGATTATAGCAGATATATGGGTCATTCTATGGTGAAAGGTTACCAGATAGGAAAAGTATTGTTTAGACCATATGAAGATGTTCTTGGCATAGGGCATTCCATGGGATGGTCTTCAATTCTTATTCCAGGGTCCGGAGAACCAAACTTTGATACTTGGTTAGCAAATCCATTTGAAACATCTAAACAGCGGAGAGAAAAGGAAGTTCGGTCTCTTCTTGACAAGCTTCCGCCCGAGACAATCATGTTGGACCCATCAAAGATTGGCACTGTGAAGCCAGTTAAGAAGAAAGAGAAACTGACGAAACAAGAAATGGTAGATGAGATGGAAGCTGCTGTTGAAGCTGTCAAGAACACCACTTTTAAGAACAAAACAAAAGGAAGGAGTAAGGATAGTAAGAGAGCAAAGAAGAGAAAGGAGATTATTGGGAGAGCCAAGAGACCTTTCTTGGATCAGCAAATGAAAGAGGAAGAAAAATTGGCTAAAAAGAAGCAGAAAACTAACGAGGAAAATGCACTACCAGCAGCTTTGCAGAGATTTCAACGCAAAAACACTACAGCTTGAATGTGCTGAAATTTTTTTTTTTCTTTTTCAAATCAATTTTCTTTACCCTAACTTAAAATGTATTCCAATGGTGGTTAATTATAACCAAACTGTATCCTCGAGTTTTGGTTCTCAAAAGGAATGATTATTTTTATATTTATTTTCTTTTGGCAGTTTAGACTGTTTTGTAACTGGACTATTAGAGGGTTTTTCTTATTTTTCGCAAATTAACACGAGTGAAAAGAAGGGACCTTTATTTGAAAAGGGATCGCTTTGCCTAGAATCGGCCTGGAACTCTATTTATGAATTAAATTAATGAAAAATGATTTTTACCGAGGGTAATTTTGATTATATAATAATAATAAATAATAAAAATAATTTTTTAAAAAAATTTTTATTTTCATTTGTCTGATTTATGGATGGATCTTTAGATTTGGTTTAGTCTATTTAAGAATAACTCATGCATACTTAATTTATGAGTTGCTCATAAACTAGATCCATAGAAAATAAACAAGGATAATTCTACTATATACCGAAAAAAAAAAAAAGGATAAATAGAAACAATTTGTAAAAACTTATTATTCTTATTATAAAAATAATGAAGTTTTAATATTGCAAATGTAATTGTCACCATCAAATCCCAGAAAAAGAACTGGGCCTTGCTCTTGAATCAGGTGGTCTTTTCTGAATTTCTATTTCCATTGGCCGGCAATTCTTTTAAATCTCGAAATTGCTAGCTTTAATCTTTTCTTGGAAGGAACCTCACCTAAGACCTTTCCACAAGTTGAACAACATCTGCAACAAATTAAATCATAGGCTGACAATTAATTACTTGAAAAAAAAAAAAACAAAAGTACTTACAAAATATATATTTCATGAATTAGAAAGATATTTTATTATATAATATAATAAAATATTATATATTATCCTAAAAAAATTAATAAACAAACTTAAGGATATAATGATTTTGAATTTTAGTAAATTCTACTTGTGAACTCTTGAATTTTGCGGGATTCAATCATAACTTTACAATTTCATATCTGAGTAATAATTGTTGTGGTCTGATTCAATTTTTTATCCATCGTGTAAGATATAAAGAGAAGTCTCGAGACTAAAAATTATTACTAATTTAGTAAATATTATTGAAAGGGGCTCACAATATTATTCTAATTGTAAACCCTAAATTTTATTCTAAGGCACGGGACATAGTTAGTACTGAAGCAAAATCATAACCAAACTGGGGAAGAAAACCTCATACATCACTCTTCACATTTAAAATTTCTCAATGTTTCAGAAAAAAAAAAAAGAGTTAATAATAATTAACATGGTGACTTACATGAAGTTACCAGAACGTGTTGTACTGCAAAATTGGAGACAGTGACTGCACCAAGCCATTGCAAGGGATTTTGAGATGCTGAAAACCTTGTCTGCTTCTCGAGTGTTTAAGACTGCTCCTGTATAAAAATGTATATATAAAAAAAACTTGAAGCTTATTCGTTGCCCTAGTACGATTCTAAAACATTAATTAAATTATTCTTTTGTATTTAAAAAAAGATTTATTTTTTAAATATCATTTATTATTATTGATGGGTGAAATATAATAACATTAATAGTAATTTTTTAATAATTAATAAAATTATAATGTCATTAATGTTTTGAAAATATTTTAACTTCTTTTTTTACTAAGTAATAAAACGTTTCATTTTTTTTAAATAATTAATGATATTAATAATGTCATTGATATTATTATTGATGAAATGAAATTGATATCATTAATAATATTAATAGTAATTTTTAATTTTTAATAATTAATAAAATTATTAATGTCATTATATATCAATTACACATTTTAGAAAACACATCATTATTAATAAAAAAAAAATATAAAATGGTCACTCATCCACTAAAAGCTATTTTATATATCAAGTTACGGAACACACCATCTAAACACTATAATGTTTAACTTTTACCGTTTTATAAAAAGTTACTCAAACAGTTAAACACCGTTAAAATAGCTATCAAAACAAAACAGGCCCTAAGCCAATCAATTACGCTGAGCTGCAATTTTCTCCGTGATATTTCCTAGGACATTTTGGGACTCTCCGAGCAACTTGATGCTCATGTTCAGCTTCTCAAGCTTACTAGCAACAGAAGGTGATTCCTTCACGGATTGTTCATAATCAATCTAACTCGATAATAATTTCCTTTTCAATTTCTTTATTCACAAAATTTTGAACAGTAAACTGCAAATGCAAGACCATAGAACCAACCAGCCTTCTGAATATAATCTTCTGATAAGCAGTCATTCTCATCTTCAGATCAAGAGTTGGTTGTATAACATTATCCTGATACTGCAACCTTTTGCATGATATATAGGAATTCAGTTCAATCCTTCTTGATTCTTCAAGAACTCGAACCTCCTCCATCAAAAATTTTGTTCTAGAATCACTTTAAGGGCAGTTATAAAGATCATTCAAATATTGGTTAAGCATTTCAAGCAATCTAACAGTGCAAATACCATGATCATCCAAGTACTCATCTTCCTCTCCTCTTATAAGGATTTTCCTAAGAGACTCTTGGCTGATCAAACAATGCATATGAAAGCTTCATGGTTTCAAGTTTCAACAGGTGATGACAGAGTCTTAAGCATCTTATTCAGCTCTGAAATGCTTATATCTAGTTTCTCATTAATCTTTCTAAATATTCAAGCAAGCATTGGCCATTGTAGTTGCTTGAATATGCATGAGCCAATTTCTGAGCAAGAACTGGAATACCCATTATAGATTTATCGATCTTTAACAAAAGTATATCATTTTCGAACAATATAACTTATTATTTTACGGAATCGTGGAAACATGGAGATGGAAATCACGTTTTCCAAACACAAAAACATCCATAGTTTGAAGATTTCGTGCATAATAGATTCACACCATTTTTTTGCATAATAAATTTTAAAAATATATTTTATCCAATTATTCAATCTTAAATTTAGACAAGTCTTGGCTCACAAATTACTGAAAATAACTGTAGTTTGATTCGAGCTGAGATCTCTTACTCTTCGAATAAGTCAGAAAATCAACAAGAACACTGTTTAATTAATATTTTTTAATATATTTTAAAATTTTTAATATTTGTGAATCAATTTGGATTTTTTAGATGACGTGGATAGTTTTTTATTTGTGAATCCAGGTTCGACTCCCACCCAACACTTGAAAGGCCGATGCACAATTTCAAGATTTGATTTGTTGGGGACCCTAATAAAGTGGACCCACCAAGACCATACGCCCTTACTCCTGATCTGTGTAAGTTTTGGGCTTTTGGTCCATTTTGAATAATTAAAAAACATAATGGCCCAATTCTGAGATTGTCTGTCTGGCAACCAGCGAGCCACCGTGTCGGCTCCCTCTGTCATCCGTCAGCTTCCTAAACTCCTCTCTCTCTCTCTCTCTCGAACGACAAAACAAGAATAGGAAGAACGGAAAAAAGATGTCTCCTTTCTTTCCGTCTTCTCTTTTACTCTTTATCGTATCGTATTGTATATCCTTCTCACGAAGGAAATCCCAAAAAATTGTTCTTATAAACCCTAAAAACTAAAATCAAATCCCTCAAATATGGACCCTGCTTTCATAATTTCTCCAATTTCTCCAATGAACCACACTCTTTCTCCTTCTCCATCTTCTTCTTCGGGCGATGGCGATGCTGATAACCCTGGCGCTTGGTATGGCAACATCCAGTACCTTCTCAACATTTCAGCTATCGGTTTATTCTTTTGTGTCTTTATTTTCATATTCGTCAAGCTTCGCAGTGACCACCGTCGAATTCCTGGCCCTTCTGCTCTTGTCGCCAAGCTTCTCGCCGTCTGGCATGCTACCGGACGAGAGATCGCGCGTCACTGTGGAGCCGACGCCGCTCAATTTCTCATTATTGAAGGCGGTAGCTTTGCTGTGCTTTTAGGTATTGCGGTTCTGTCGATATGTTTTATTCTTCCGTTGAATGTCTATGCTGGGACGGCAATGCTTGATGACCAATTCTCGAAGACCACTATTAGTCATATCAAAAAAGGTTCCGGTTATTTGTGGATTCATTTTCTGTTTGTTGTTACCATTGTTGGTTTAGTGCATTTTGGCATGTCTGTGATTGAAGAAAGACTGAGAATTACTAGATTTAGAGATGGGAATGGGAATTTGAGTGACCCAAATGCCAATTCTACTGCGATTTTTACTATTATGGTTCAGGGATTACCTAAGAGTTTAGGGGACGATAGGCTAGTGTTGCGCGACTATTTTCAACATAGATATCCTGGTAAGGTTTATAAGGTGGTTGTGCCTATGGATTTGTGTACGTTGGATGATTTAGCTACTGAGTTGGTTAAGGTTCGTGATGAAATTACTTGGTTGGTTGCTAGAATTGATTCTAGACTTTTACCTGATGAAAATGAAAATGAAATTTTGGGAGGGAGTTTGATGGAGAGGTTAAGGAGTTGGATGATTTATTTGTGTAGAAGGGTGAAACACTTTTGGGATCAGATGATGGATAGATTGGGTTACACAGATGAAGAGAAGTTGATGAAATTACAAGAAATTAGAGCTGAATTAGAGAGAGAGTTGGCGGCGTACAAGGAAGGACATGCACCAAGTGCAGGAGTTGCATTTGTCATTTTCAAAGATGTTTATACTGCTAATAAAGCTGTTCAGGACTTCCGGAATGACCGGAAAAGGCGTCTCGGTAAGTTCTTCTCTGTTATGGAGTTGCGGTTGCAGAGGAATCAGTGGAAAGTTGAACGAGCCCCATTGGCAACTGATATTTACTGGAACCATTTGGGTTTAACAAAATTCTCGTTGAGGCTGCGGAGATTATTTGTCAACACATGCTTGCTGTTGATGCTTTTATTCTTTAGCTCTCCTCTTGCAGTCATCACTGCCCTAACAAGTGCAGGCCGGATTGTTAATGCAGAAGCAATGGATCATGCCCAATCATGGTTGGCTTGGGTGCAAAGTTCCAGCTGGTTTGCATCCCTAATCTTCCAGTTCTTGCCTAATGTTATTATATTTGTGAGCATGTATATAGTAGTGCCTTCAGCTCTTTCATATCTCTCCAAGTTTGAACGACATCTCACTGTGTCTGGGGAGCAAAAAGCTGCACTTCTGAAGATGGTTTGCTTCTTCCTCGTAAATCTTATTCTCCTGAGAGCTCTGGTTGAGTCTTCTCTAGAAAGTGCAATCCTGAAGATGGGCAGATGTTATCTGGATGGAGAAGATTGCAAGAGGATCGAGCAATATATGAGTGCATCATTCCTGTCAAGATCTTGCCTTTCTTCTCTTGCATTTCTAATTACAAGCACCTTCTTGGGAATATCTTTTGATCTTTTGGCTCCAATTCCTTGGATAAAGAAGAAACTCCAGAAATTTCGTAAGAATGACATGCTCCAGCTGGTACCAGAGCAAAATCAAGAGTACCCCATGGAAAATCAGACAATGGATAGTCTTCAGAGACCATTGATTTCTGGTAACGCATTTGATGCTCCCAGACTTAATGGAATTGGTACAGAGGGACAAGATCTCTCAGAATATCCAATCAGCAAAACTTCTCCCATTCCTAAGCAGAAATTTGATTTTGCACAATATTATGCATTTAATTTGACAATATTTGCCCTGACATTGATATATTCTTCATTTGCTCCACTAGTGGTCCCTGTTGGTGCAATTTATTTTGGGTATAGGTATGTGGTTGACAAGTACAACTTTCTTTTCGTATATAGAGTCATGGGATTTCCTGCTGGCAATGATGGGAGGTTGATGGACACGGTATTATATATTATGCGGTTCTGTGTTGATTTATTCCTCCTTTCGATGCTTTTGTTCTTTTCAGTCCAAGGAGACTCAACGAAGTTGCAAGCCATTTTCACTCTTGCATTACTAGTAATGTACAAATTATTGCCTTCTGATAATGACGGTTTTCAACCAGGTCTATTGGAAGGCATCCAGACTGTTGACACTATTGTAGATGGACCTATTGATTATGAGGTTTTCTCACAACCCAGGTTTGACTGGGATACATATATTCCATGATTTGAATCTTTACTCTTTTTCAGTAATTAGTTGATTCTTCATTTCACTTAAGAGGCAAAAATCTTTTTTGGCATTCAATATGTGGTTTGTATCTTTTTGTGGATGTTTTTTCCTTTTCAGTATCTCCCTTGATTGTCTTTTAACTTGTTAGAACTCCCTTACTTTATTGGTTTTTTTGATAAGGATTGCATATGAAAAAAAAGAGATCAAATACTTCCACGCTTCAATTATAGAACTAAGTGAACCGCTTTTCCATTGTGCTGATATGCATCAACCAATTGCCATATTTGCCTACTTTATGGCGTATTTTCTGCTGAGCGTATATTGGTTGTCTGGCATCACAGCAATGTTGATTAGGTTGTTGTTGCCCATGCAGTATTTGATTTAAGTAGTTGCATGGCATTACAACTTCTTAGAGGGCTGCAGAATTGTGAAACTTGCATTTGTATAATTTAGGCCCTAATAAATTTGACCCTATACTTTCAGCGATTACCCTTGTAGCTATCTGAACTTTGCGGGGAGTCTATTATAATCTTACGCCTTCATATTTCAATAATTACAGAGCATTGATTGAACCCCTATAAAGATATTTCATTTTGTCGAGGAGTATAATTATTTCTGAAATGTGAAAGTATAGAGTCCATGATTGAACTCTCGTAAAATTGGCTACAAGGAAAATTGGGAAAATCGGTTAAAGTTCAAAGTCAAATTTATGCATTAGGTCTATAATTTAGATTGTTGCTCTTATTTATTATGGTCGGTGTTTGTTTGTTTGTTTGTGCGCATGTTTTTGCATGGACTGTATGTTTGTGGGCAGGTAAGTGGATTGACGTGTTGATTTCCATGATTGCGGTTCCAATTTAGACATGTCAAAAATGAAACTTTAAAGCTTTTTAGGCATATGCCATTCTGGTTACTGCAATTTCATTTCCATTGGATTCTTTTTGGATTCCCAGGTCATGGGATTCGGCTGGAATCTTTTTTTCTTACTAAACTTTGCTTTGAATTGATATTGATCAGAGTGGATATTATTAGAAACAAAGCATTCATATGATCAGCTCCAATTAATTTGGAGCTATGGCTTAACTGCTACTGTTGTTTAGGGTTTAGTTTTAAAATGAAAATTCTTATTTTACTTATTAATTTAAAAGGTGCACCTATTATTATACAAATGATGTAAAAAGGGTATGAAATGTAGAATGGTGTATAAAATATATTTATTGTATTTTCTAAAATTTTGTGTAAATAGAATGTGATAACCTTTGTGGGACTAGGGAATTTATAATTTTATTTATTTGAGTGTTAATTTAAGTTTAATGAATAAATTAATTTATTTATTATTATTTTTTAATATTAAGAGAAAGGGGATTCGAACAAATTCTATTGACAATGTGCATCTACTATTAGGCTATGCATTAATGAAATATTTCAAGAATATCTTTTTTTATTTAATTATTATCAGTTAAAAAGGAATACGCAAAGCATGTATAGGGCATTAATGAAACATTTCTAGAATACCTTTTTAAGTTTTAGAGAACATACTATCAAAAAGAATCATTTAACTAAAAAAAAAAGTACGAATATTACCATTAAAAAGGATTGAAGACTCATACTGTAATGTATTTTAACATGTAAGCTCATGTTTCACCATTAAAAAGGATTGAATATTACCAATAAATGATGGATTAGCGTGTAAGCTCATGTTTCCCACAAACAAAAGGCTAGGAGACGACCCATAGCCATAGCCATGCTCGGAGCCTAGGACGATATTTTGTTGCAAAATGTGAATAAATATTTGTGTATCTTTTCTCTATTTCTTTCTTTCTTTTTTTTTTTTTTAATTACACTCAAAAATTTTCTATTATCAAAGTTTCAAATATAAACAATATTATTATTATTATATAAATATTCAATTTACTTTTATATATTTATTCGCTCATTTTTATATCTTTTACATCCATATTTTATATATGTAATCTATAATCTAAGAATTTTCAAAGCATAATCTTCTCCATGTGGCAAATGTGAAGGTTCATGCCATTTCTCATGATGGTCATTTACACAAAGAAAAACCGTTGAGAAGTGTAATAAAGAATTTGAAAAAAGAAACCTAAAAATATACTCAACAAAACGTTGAAAATGCATATATTTATGCAAATAAGGTCAACAAAAAGGGAAGAAAAATAAAATAAAGATGAAGCATAAGATTAATTATGGACTAATTACTTGGACCAAATGAATTTTAGGCAAGAAGAGAAATAGAGGAAAGTTAGGAGATTAAAACCCAACTAGTGAAGCCCCCCAACAAAATCCTACATTTACTCTTACCCACATCAAATTGCTCTGTCTCTCTTTCTTTTCACTTGAACACAATGTTGTGGTTCTACTTATAGTAAGTGATTCTTCACTTATAATTGTGTGGCTATTGTTTAATGAAATGGGTAATTTTTTATATTTATTAATTATTATTTGAATTTTTAAGAGCTAAAGAAATTAATTATCATCAAACTGGGATTTCAAGTCACCAGAAATTTACTACTCCTCTCTTGCTCGTGACTTTGTTTGATTACAAGTTTTGGTCAAGAATTTGGAGTTTAAAGAAGATAAATATGCATCATTTGCAAGTTAAAAGTAACCTTGTTGATTCAAGTTCAGATACAACTAAGCTTGCCTTTGCTGGCAATAACCAGCCTCTTTGCCCTAAACCTCGCCGGCTCGGACATACATTGCCTGAATTTCTCCGGCCTCTTAGATGTAGCAAACACAGGTTTATTTTATTTTTATTTTTTTAGATGTTTGCTATAATTGCATAAACATATCTTTCCCTAATGACTAATTATGTTTGTATTATTGTTTATAATTATCAGCCAACCTATTTCTGATGGAAGAAGTGGAATTCTAAATCTAATTACCGATAAGGTTAGTTACAGTAAAATGGTATCACGAATCAGTTTTTGCATACTGTATTTTGTCACGACATTTAATATTTTGTAAAATCTTGAAAATTTTATTTATGGTATATGTTAATGTTAAATGACTAGTTAATTAATTTGCAGGCAATTGATGGTAAAGAATCCATATGCATTGGGTGTTCACCATCTTGTTACTCAGGATCTCCTCCAAGAAGAACAGATAATCCTTTGATTCATGATGTCCAATTTTATTCATCGAATGGAGCTTCTTTCGCCATTTACGCAAATCAGACATTTCGATGAGTTTGGTTTCGTCTCGTAAATTAAAAATGGGATTTCTTGAAATGGAATTTGTTGCCCTAGATGTGTCTTTTTTAAATTGGGCAGCTTTTGTAGTGTTGTTTAATTAGTGTAAGCATTCTTTATCTTTTTTTTTTTTTTTAAAAGAACTTACTGTTCTTTTTCCTACCCCAATCTTGCATTGTGGGTCTCCTTCTGTAAGTACCATGAGTTGGACAGAACCTGTCTTTGTAAATATTGTTAAATTCTAAAGCTTGAGCAATTAATTTAAGCCACAATTTTTTTAAATATAATCTTGAAAAAGGATTAGCTTTGCTCATTCTTTCAATTAAATATTATAAATGTGAAAAAAAAAAATATCAATAAAAACCCCACTTAGAAGGCAATCAAGCCATCATCTTCACCACCATATATATTCACACATATCTATATACTATTATAGATTATATATATATATACATCACTTATAGATTGCTGCCTTTTGGGGCTTTGCGTATTAAGCAATTTCAATATTTATGTGTATCTTCAATATATAGATGCTGCCTTTGGCTTTGAGTATTAAGCAATTTTAATAATTTATGTGATATCTTAATTTTTTTTAATTCTTTCTCTGATCAAAATATATTATCAATAACACTTATAGTTTTGAACTTTTTTTAGTAATAAGGGAGGAGATTTAAATCTGGATCTATTGTCAAGTCATATATCCACTTACCACTAGAATATACTTTGGTGTGCTTATAATTTTGAACTTAATAACACAAGTATCATATATAGTGTACCACTTGAGGTACAAATTTCATGGTTAAATTGGTGTTCTACCACTTAAAGTAATTTATTAATGTTTATTGTTTAATGTTTTAATTAGAGTCAAAATACTATCTTTATTATTTATACTATACGAATAATTTAAATATTTGAGGGAATGACTCATAAGATGTTACTCCATTTAATGTTTTGCGAACTAGTGAGCAACTAACAATCAAAATTGTTTAACTAAGCCTAAATCTTGAATATATGATTTAGAATAGGAAAATAAACTGTATAATCTCCATAGTTTATACAATTAGTCCGTCTATGTCTTTTAGAAAATAGATTAAAACATCCTTATATTTTACTTCCGTTAAATTATAAGGTCCTTTTATCCAATTTTTGCATTTTTTTCATAAGTACTTTATGAAATAATGAAAATACCCTTTATTTTTAAAAATATAGGGATAAACTGGTTATATTTTTCAAATTATAAGGACCATATTGTAATTTTTTAGTATAATATTTTAATATCTCTCATTTGACCTCTGTATTTTCTTGTTGATTTAATGGAAAAAATGTAAAAATTAGCAAAATGACCTAGTAGTGCAACGGAAACAAAACATAGAGAAAATTAATATATTTTAAAAAAGACAGAAACAAACTAATTGTATTTCGCAAACTACAGAAATCGTACTGTATTTACCCCTTTTAAAATATTAGGATTTATCTCTAAATGTACATAGAGAAAGATTTAGTCTTAATAAAATGCAACCTAGCATAGGAATATCAAATTTTTTTTGTTAAATTTTAATTAGCCACAATAAAATTACTTATTTTATTCAATTATAATGTTTTTTTGCCACTAAATTTTGAACCTTTTTTTTTCTTAAATAAATATAAGTTTATATTATTGATACAAAAAATAGTTTATGAAACTTATTTAGTTTCTCTGAAATTTACAGAATATTTGTTTTTGTTAATTTATAATTAATATTTTTATCAAATGGACTCTAATTAGGTAATTGATAGGAATCCTATATGTATTACAAGCCGAGTTGTTTGAGGTTACTCCATATGAATAATAATTTATTTAACTATGAATTTTATAAAACATTAAATTAAATTTTTTTAAACTCAAAATTGACAATATTTTAGCTCACTTTAATAGAGTTGGATTCCACCTAGCATGCATACAGTAGCGGGTGAGCAAATGGACGATTCGGATCAAATTGAACTAAATTAAGTTTAAAAAAAAAAAATGCAAGTCTTATGTTTCAGACTTAAAACCAGTTGGTTTGGTCTGTTTTTGCTATATCAATTTGGTTTTAAGCGATTAAATTTTGTAAAACAAACTATATCAATAGTAATTTAGATTCAAATCGATTAAAGCTGATAAAATCGAAGTTTTCTTGAACAGACTGATCGAATCAAAATGAGTTAATTCAGTTTTTCGATTCGATCGGTGAATTTGCACAATCCTTGTACAATAGATTGTAAGTTAATTTAATTAATAAATTCGATGACCTATATAAATTATATTCTTTCCGTTCCGTTAAATTTATTAATTTTTGACTTTTTATATTAAAGAAATGATTGAATCATTAAAATTTATTACAACAATACTCATTTAATTGAAATAATGTTAATATAAATATCTAGATAAAAATAAGTTGAAATAAAATAATTAATAGATTTCCGATAACATCACAACTAAATGAAAAACAAAATGGTCAAAAACTGATAAATTTAAAGAGAGGGAGGAAGTATTTAATTTATTTTTTAAACCTTGTCGGCTTAACATTGAAGATTCAGACGTGTACGATGGTTACCGGTATCCAATTCTCATATTTGATCTCAGCCGTGGATCATAAGAACAGTAGTGGCGCTATTTCTTATTTCCATAAACGGTCAAAAAAGCATAGGAAGAGTTGAACACCCGCCTTTTCCATTTTTCCCAAAACTGTCAAACACATGAACAAACAAACAAAACAAACAAACAACGACATGTGGGCCCCACTGCCATCTTCTCCACATGCAAAACAAACAAACAAACAAACAAAGACACTCACTCTTACTCTTAACAGTTTCACTCTCTTTTCTTTTCTTTTCTCTCAAGATCTAATGATCATGCAATTTTCTCTTCAATGCCCATCTTAGTTTCTTGGGTTTCTCCTCAAGAATTATGTTTCCTTTCTTGAAATTGCTCCTTTTCTTGCTTCCAATCTCGATTTATTACTCCCAGTCCTGTAATGGCCGCATCTTTACCTTCAAAATGCACCATCGCTACTCAGAAAAACTCAAGAACCACTTCCCGCAAGGAAAATGGCCGCCTAAAAGAAGTTTCCAGTATTATTCAGAGCTAGCCCACCTCGATCGGACAAAACGTGGCCGCAAACTCTCCAATGTGGACTCATCTCTCGCTTTCTCTGATGGAAACTCCACTTTTCGAATTAGCGCTTTGGGATTGTATGCTTCTTTCTTTTCTTGAATTACGATCTTTCTTTGATTGTTTAATTTATTTTTGGAATTTTGTAGTTTGCATTACACGACGGTGGAATTGGGGACGCCGGGAGTGAAGTTTATGGTGGCGCTTGATACAGGGAGTGATCTGTTTTGGGTGCCTTGTGACTGTAGCAAATGTGCGCCTACTGAGGGAACTGTTTATGCTTCTGTATGTGTCTATGATCAATTTTACTTCTTTTCTTCTCCCCCCCCCCCCCCCCCCCCCCTTCTTTTTGCCTCCTGAAATTTTGTTAAACTAAGTGTTATGCATAGTGTATGTAAACAATGAATGCGATTTGGGCTCATTGCAATAAGATGCCCAAGATATTATTAGAGAAGTGCTTTACGTCAAACGCCTTACTGTTTAAACATGTGGCTTTATTTGTTGGCCTATTAGCAAGAGGGAATTAGGTGATTGTGATTCGGCACACTTTGATTCAATGCTACTTTCAGTTTTGATTCCATTGGTAAAAAAATTTTGTAAAAAATCTATGTTTATTAATCATTCACTCTACGATGTCAAAAACAATGGAGCTATTTAGAATCCATCTCCCCCCCCCCCCCTTCTTTTTGCCTCTGAATTTTGTTAACTAGTGTTATGCATAGTGTATGTAACAATGAATGCGATTTGGCTCATTGCAATAGATGCCAAGATATTATTAGAGAAGTTGCTTAGTCAAACCCTTACTGTTTAAACATGTGTGCTTTATTTGTTTGCCTATTAGCAAGAGGAATTAGTGATTGGTGATTCGCACACTTTGATTCAATCTACTTCAGTTTTGATTCATTGTAAAAATTTGTAAATCTATGTTATTAATCATTCACTCTAGATGTCAAACAATGGAGCTATTATAGAATCATCTATTTGATAGTGCTGTTGAGGATGCATTGAAATCTGATATGCATTTCTTTTTTTTCTTTTTGCCCTTTTGTCTCTTCTGTAGAGAAATGTGACTAGACTGGACCAGGTGCCTTTTGGTCTATCTCGATTTCTTTTTTGATCTCGTGATTTGTTTCCTACTATATATGATATGCTTTGCAGGATTTTGAGCTTAGCATATACAACCCCAAAGAGTCATCAACTAGCAAAAAGGTCACTTGTAACAACAATTTGTGTGCACACCGTAATCGTTGTCTTGGAACATTCAGCAGTTGCCCTTACATGGTATCTTATGTCTCTGCTCAAACTTCTACTTCTGGGATTTTGGTAAAGGATGTTCTGCACTTAACAACTGAAGATAGTGATCCAGAATCTGTTAAAGCATATGTCACATTTGGGTATGCCTTTTGTTTTCTTTTTGCTCCATGTAATAATGGATTTGAACAATGAGCATTTGATTGTAGTTTTATTCTATTCATATGGTGTTCTGGATCTTGGTTGATGTGAAATTTGATATGAATTGTGCAGTTGTGGACAGGTTCAGAGTGGTTCGTTTCTGAACACTGCTGCTCCCAATGGTTTATTTGGGCTTGGCATGGATCAAATTTCAGTTCCTAGCATTTTATCAAGGCAAGGTTTAATAGCTGATTCTTTCTCAATGTGTTTTGGATATGATGGAGTTGGACGGATCAGTTTTGGGGACAAGGGCAGTCCTGACCAGGATGAGACTCCATTCAATCTGAATCCATCACAGTAAGTGGTAATTTCTTATTTACTTAACAGTGACCGTCTTATATAGTTTGTTTTCAATGGGGGTTTTAGCTAGTTATTCTAGACCTTACATGTGGAATCTTTTTCAGCCCAACCTACAATATCACTGTGACTCAAATTCGAGTAGGGACAACTTTAATCGATGTAGACTTCACAGCTCTTTTTGATTCTGGGACCTCATTTACGTATTTAGTTGACCCAGCCTATGCAATGGTTTCTGATAATGTAAGCATTTCAAATTGAAGATGAGCTTTACTTTGTCTGCATGAGTATCTTGTGCATGAGTTAGTTTTTATGTTCTGTTGCAGTTCCATGCACAGGCAAAAGACAGGCTGCGTCCTCCTGATCCCAGGATCCCCTTCGAATATTGTTATGACATGAGGTTAGAAAATGAAGTCTTATATGTAATACTCCCTTTGATGTTGTATTGCTCTTTATACTCCATAATCATGTCTTTTCTGATTGATTATGTGTAGTCCTAATGCAAATGCTAGTTTGATACCTAGCATGAGACTTACCATGCAAGGAGGAGGACAATTTGCTATATCCGATCCAGTAATTGTTATCTCCACTCAGGTAATATTTCATACACACATCTTTTTCAACACTACATTTTCTTTTTCTTTTTTTAGTTACTGAGACAGATAATAAACAGTTTTCTCTCCAATTAATTGCAGAATGAACTTGTATATTGTTTGGCTGTTGTGAAGAGTACCGAACTCAATATAATTGGACGTAAGTTGAATTTGGGTTATGAGTAATACTGTGAACATGCATATTAGTGTCAATACAGATGAATGAATGAAAATGTTGTAGTCTTGACATCTAATAGATTTGCACTTAAAAACTAACTCAACTTTTAACAAATTTAGATCAAGCTTCCTTTTTTGTGTAGCATTCCTTGATCAAAGAGAGTGATGATAGGCCAGTGAAAGGATTGATTCATGGTTTTTGATTTGGGTTTCCCTACTTTTGCCTTTATTATTGTGTACTGGGAATTCCAATGCACTTATTTAAGTTCTTGATTGATCTTTTTTGCAGAGAACTTTATGACTGGCTACCGCATTGTATTTGATCGAGAAAATTATGTCCTGGGATGGAAAAAGACTAACTGTAGGTGTTATTTTCATGTGTGTAATTTCCTTCCATGCTTTTCATACAATGATTTCAACAAGTAACCTACCCTTCTGGCTCGGTTACAGGTTATGACATGGAGGATTACAGCAAGTTCCCGATGGAACCACATGCCTCCAGCGTGCCTCCTGCTGTTGCTGCCGGACAACGTAACTATTCTAGTCAACAATCAACAAAGGAGGGCAGGAATAACCATCAGAGTTCAGTTGCATCACCATATTACTCTCTTCACTCTTGCTTTGTAGCTAGCTTCACATTCATCTTCACACTATACAATTTATTGTAGTCTATTCCATAGCCATTCATTTATCAGGAAAGCAAATAGTATCATATTTTGATAATATCTCAAATTCTTTTTTTCATTAGGTCATAGCTGTGCATATAGAATACACCAATGTATAAATTCTTATTGTATATCAGTTTTTTGCCCATTGTCCATAACTTCCTGTGGCCTTTAGCTTCACCTAATCTGCATTCCATCCATTTTTAGCATTTAAATTAAGTAGATCAAGCACCACTCTGTTTAATGCTTTGTAAATGAAATTTATGAATTCCATGTTTGGTACAAAAGAAAAAAAAATGTTCATTTCCCTCCTATGAATTCAACCTTTCATTGTACAAAACATAAGAATTTAGATCTTGATTTTATGTGAGATAGGGTTTAGTTGTTTAAAAAGAAAAGAGTAAAGTGAATGGAAATCACAATGAATCTTATTTTTCATTAGGTGATCTAGTGCGCAGGCTATGAGGTTGGCAACGTGTCAGGTATACGCTTAAAATGCATTATCTGAATCCAAACCTGATCATAAATTAAATATTTAAATCTATTTAAAAATTCACTTTTAGTGCTCGAACCTGTTATAAAGCCACATACTCAAATCCGTTTTTAGTATTAATAATATTTTTTAATATTTATTTTTTAAAAATAAAAAGCAAGTAAAAATTATAAAATTATTGTTTTGACTTAATAAAAAATATAATATAAACATTAATTATAATTAAAAAGGTGCGTATATGTAATTTTCTTTTAAAAAATAATTATTTTAAATATTTTTAGAATATTAATTAAACGAGTAGTGGGTGCCCGAGTCTTTGAACCCGAACCTAATACAAGTAATAAAAATACTTAGCGAATTTGTCCCAAACTTATTTATTTACTATTGAATCCGCTAAAATCGAATTGGATCCCTACTAGATCAGTTAAAATTGTCATCCCCAATCAAACTTCTTTATTCTTTTTTTATAAAAGGATTATTTTCGTGGCTCGAACGCATGAACTCTAGATCGTAAGTGAATAAATATAGGGTTACACTAAAGCTACTCTCTCTATTTTCCATTAACATGCTAAAAATAACACCACTCTCAAAAAAGCATTAATATTATATATGTAATAAATAATATGTCTTTAAGCAAAAATTACATACATGTACATATATTTAAGGTGGGAGCAAAGTTAGGATGGGATGGGGAAGGAACACAGGTTTCGGGTTGCCATTGGAAGGGATAACGTAACATTGCCATCTCAATATTTTTTGGATCGGAGTATTTTATAATATCAACAAACAGATAAGAATGAATGAGAACATTAAGTTTATAATAGTTGGGCAGGTTCTTGGAACCTTCTTGCTTGAATCTAAGGAAGCAAATGACATTCTTTTGTTTTACACATTGTTTTCTTTTTAAAAATAAAAATAATAGAAATGATCTATGGAACGAATGGTTCCAACGGGATTATTAAATACTAAAATATTACTAATTTTTTTATAATATTTGTCATATTTAAAATTTTGCGTCTTTTAAAAAAATCATTAAATTCGTCTAAATTATACTTTTTCTGTTCCATTTTTTTGCTTATTATTCCTTTTTGAGATGTTTCAAAATGTTTGCAAAGTTTCTAAATTTTTATATCTAAACAATCGTTTTTCACATAATAACATTTATATTTGTTCATTAAATGAAGAACTTTTATTAATATCTTAATGAGTTAATAATAGAAAAAGGCAAAATAATATTTATTGACTAAATTCTTAATGTGTGTTTTCTCAAACCATACAAACAAAATAAAATAGAGAGACTAATAAATTATTGAGTAAATTGACTATGTTAATCTTAATTTAATATTAGTTTCATAAAAAAATCATTAAATTGAAATAACAATCAGTGATCATATACAAAAGGTAAACATTGAAAAATCGAATTTATTATTCTTTAAAATTATAAATGTGATAAATATTTTGAAAAAAAAAATTATTTTCTCAAATGTAACAAATATTATGAACCGAGTAGAATGAGCTCGTCGCTTGCTACAATAAACAATAGAAAGTGTAGAGATACAACATATGTGGAGCGTTTTCAACTTTAAAAAGACAAAAATGTAAAAGCGATATCTGAAAATAGAAAAACGACATTAGTTTAGAATAAGAGGTAGTTGAATTTTCCAGTTCCCACGCGGGCCTCTGGAATCCGGCGAGGTTAAAGTCACCGTCGATCCTGCCCTGTGAAGAAGATCAGGACAGGCCGTGAAATATTGCAAACAAATTGTTCAGCTGGAGATGGAACAACAGAGAATCCGTCTTAAATGCCGTTGTTGATGCACCGATACCGGCAATCTAGGCTACTCCTCCACCCTTGGCGATTACTGCACTAGTTTTATGGTCTCATTTGAATTTTCAAACTTCTGCAGTAACTTTGATTATCCGCAACAACTCATTGAATTTTCTTCTTTATCCCTGCCGTTTAAGAACCAATTACATAGATTAACTAGTGTAAGAAATGGATACTCTACCTAAGCGAAGAAATGAGCAACCATATTAAGTTGTATTGGACATTGTTAATTAAAATTTTGAGGTCAAATTATTATATTTTTTATGTATTTTTAATGATTTTTTTATCCAAATAAAAAAATAAGGTAAATATGTTATATGTTATTATAAAATGATTTTCAATGTTTTGTTTAATTTAGTTGGCTTAAGCTATAAAAATCCCTCGACTTTTACGACCTATTGTAGTGTCGCTCTAAACCAACTTTTGTCGTCCCAACACCCTGATTCAGTAACTTATTATTAATTTTCAGTGTTGTAGTAATTAGTTGTAGTATCACTCTAAACTCTATCTTTATTAATTGTAATATTCGGCTAATATAGGGTCTCAGTTTTTTTTGGATAAACCACCGATGTTCATGCTCCATTACAAGGACGGCTTAATCCGACTCGAAACTTAGTCATAGTTAAGGCTTCTCGTTCCTTTCTACAGATGTGTTCAATGGGGACCGAACTTGAGAGCCCTTCCGACATGCTCAGCCTGTGTTGCTAATTGAGCCACAGCCTGTAGGTTTAACATTTAGTTTTTAATCAAATTGTTTTGACAGTCGTATATATTGTTTTTATCCTCTGAATTTAGCTAATTAAACAATTAATATTTTTTTTTTCATTTTAAGTTAAATAACTAATAAATAGTTTTTTTTTTAACCGAATATTTATAATTTAAACGCTATATAACCTTAAAGCTAATAAATAATGACGGACAGCTAACAACTATTATAATAGCTATTAAAACAATTAATATTGCCTAATATACCATAAGTGTAGTTCTCTTATTTGGATTCAAAGAAAAATATTCATATTGAAATTAGGATGTTCACAAAAGAAAAAAATACTTTTGTGTCTTGACTTCCAAGAATTTGAAAAATTCATTTATGAATTGAGTTAACTCAACAAAACTTTTGGGAGAAAACTATTTTTCTTTAATATCTAAGCAACCTTATATGCAAAAAAAGAAATGGTTGATAGAGAAACTTATATTAAAAAAGAAAATAAAACTAAAAACAATAAAATACCCATCACAATCACCATCTAAATGGTTGCCAAGTGGAATTTTTTCTTTAAGGACACTCATTTAAAAACGTTACAATAAATCTTCAACAAAATGATTATAATGCAAGTTTCTTTCTTGATGTTTGCTTTGTCGCTTCCTTTTTTTGACTTTGAAATGTTCAATTTTTCAAAATTTTAATTTAAAAAGTAAAAAACCAAGTTTTTTTCTTTGCTTATTTCTTCTGGTGGTTGGAATATTAGACAATTAGGAAACGATAATCACGGTGTCAATATCAATAGAGACTCAGTCTTCACTGCCACATGTCATGCACTCATACGGACCACGTTTAAGTCTTGTTTGTGGCTTTTCTTTTTATTATTATTATTAAATATATTTTATATATACCAATAAGACATGGTCTGATTTCATCTTCCTGTCTCTCTACCGCAAAGATGAAGGCTACCCTGTGTTCGACGAGTGACGTAACTACTAGGTATTATTACGACGTTAATTTATATTAGAGATATGATAATTTATAAAAATGTAATGTGTGCAAGTATAAAAAATTATTTATAAATTATTATGAAAAATTAAAGATAAGATAATTAATCTTTAATGTCTCAACATCTAAAAGTTATTGTATAAATTACTTTATCGGACACTATAACATGTTCAGCGGTGGATTTTAAAGTATCTTTTTAGTGTTTTGACTAGATCAATACATTATTTTTATTAGTTATATTTTTTTATAAGATAATCTATATGTAGGTTTTAGAGATTAAGAGAAAGTTTAATGAAATGTTGTATCACTTAATATTTAGCGTTTCACGATAATTAATGGACAATTTTTTGACACTTTTATCAATTATTTTTTCACAAATTAATAAACCCTACCCGTAATACAAAACCGTTCTTTTAACTTTTTTTGTTATCTTAAATTTAATAGCTAATCAAGAAGTTATTTTTACCAAATTTCTACTGTATATAAATGTGAAATATGAGAATAATGTGATTACCTATAATAACTTTAATGAAAGTTTAAAAATCCTAAAATATCATTAGTTATAGCCAATTTAAAAATTATATTGTATTAATTGACTGGATATAATTTATTAAAATTATTTTTTTTATACCTAATATATATATACACACACGGAAAAAAGAGAAGGTTAAAAATTTGACTCTCTATTTATTTAATTTTTTATTTTGTAAAGCTAACTATGTTAAATATATATCACTAGATATTAAAAGTCGTATATTACTATTAGATCATTTTTTGAAATTAATTATTGCATTACTTTCAGAATTCTCATACAGCTAATTGAATTGAGAAAAAAAAAATGAAAAAACAAGAGCTAAAGAGATGAAAAAATGTCTCGGAAAAATATGAGTTTCAATCTTTATAATACAACTATAATAAATTTGGAATTTGTATATAATTTTTTAATTAAGAATAGTAATATATAAATTACATTTTGTTTTAATATGTGATTTATTTATTTTTATTTATCTTAATTTTTTTTTCTTTTTTTAAACTAATTCATATATTATATCATGCACCCACACTATATATTTATATTCATAAAAATTAACAAATATATCTTCTTTAAAAAAATGAATATACCTTCTTAAAAAAACGAATATATCTTG